AGCATCGTAGAGACATGCGGTTTGTTTTATATTAGTAAGGTAGGACAGCTGATCAATACTAATTCGACTAATACTGCAATATGGTTTCAGCATTTCACCGTTGTACGCTCTCCTTCTTAATACGCTCTTGATATTATGCGTACGAGTCGCATTCGTGTATAACTTAAGTCGCAACCCATATTTCGCCTTGAAAAGTTGATACAAACATTGGTACAGCAACAAGATTTTTTATCCTCATGCATAAGTCACACCTCTGATTTTTTTTTAGTGAAGTTGTGTACAAAAAAGTGCGACTTATACATGAGTAAATATAGTAGTTGCATGGATCGCGATGTACTGTAATAAACAAATCTCCACAGGTATATTCTATGGCTTACTCTACACTTATCTGTTACACTTACTCTACAGCTATCTGTTAAGAGTGAGCCTCCACTCGTTTCAAGGGAGAAATGTAGTGAAGATGTGATTTGGCCCTACTAGCCTCCATAAAGTGACACAAACATTGCGAGGCTTTAGATGTTCTCCTCCCCCAAACTTATAAAGAATGTATGCAGCTTCTGGAACACAATCCCTACCTTGAAATCGATTTCTGTGAGCAAGTGTCAGCGCATACATGTGTAAAACTAAAAGATTTTCAACACGTAACACTTGCTATCTCAACTTCGAAGCCGCCTCCAAACATTGCCGATGCAATACCTTTCAGCGCCACCTTGTTACGTTTGACAGCCAGCACAGCATTGTCCAGATCCTCCTCGCTGTCGTGTTGCGAGTCCAATAGAACCTCTTCAAAGTCAACCGGCACAGCAGCAGCCCTGCGAGCAGAGCGCAGAAATACTGTGATGTCACGATTAAGTAACCATCACTGCCAGAATGACTGAAGTCAGACAGGTTGGGAGTAACGGAGGACGATACGGCCGATCGAGGAAGGTGGAGAAGAATCATCAACAGGGAGGTCAGCCCCTAGCTGACGTCTCAGCGTGGACCATCTGCGAGAGACTACGACAAAGAAGAACAAAGGCAAGAATGACTGAAGATCAAGAGGAGATGACACCTAACATATATTTAAAAAAAGAGAAGACAGTGCTACCCACAGAATCAGCTAGCTAGCACTGACTGAATTACTGAAAATCGAAAGATTACACCTAATACATATTAAAATATGAGAATACAATGCTACCACCAAATCAGCTATCTATGACTGACTGCATGTCTGGCCGTTGAGGGAACACATCTAACAAATACTCAAACATATTCGTGTCGTAATGGCGAGTCATAGAACTGCTAGTAGCTATCACTGCGTACACGTCCCATGATCGAGATGCTATCTCACACTGTAACACATACAATACATATCAATATTGCGACAGAAAGGCATATGTAGTACCATCAAATGTAAGCATTTATTAATGACCTCGTGTCTCATACTCAACCTTATCGTCTGCTACTCACCTGAAGACCTGCTTGACATGGCCCATCAACTCGGGTCCAAGACCATCTCCCGCAATCATTGTGACTGTGTGGCGACCTCCATACTTGGCAGCTGGCTAAAGTAATTAGCACAACGACTTAATTATTTTGTGAGTATACAATACACGTTCTCTTGCCTTCACGCATTATAAAACATACAAAGTAATCATTTATGAGATGCATAGAAAATACCCAATAATCAATCGTTGGGAATAATTTTGGCTTCATTACATAATTACATTATATTAGATCAAGAAATCTGATGACATTAACAAGAATCCAAAGCTAACATTATACAAGCGTAATATATAAGTTGACTACAATGTCCTTTAATATAAATACACCAGCTTACCACATATGTCACCAGAGGGCGCTTTTCGAAATAGTGAGTCGACATGCAGCGGACCTAAATAACAGTAAGAAATGTTTTACGGAATATAAATTCCACACAGAATATACCATCCTTTAGAATATCAGAACTTATTGGCAATTTAGAATATTGGCATCTACTACTAATACCTTGAAGTTGTGTATGTATCGGGTTATTATATAAATATAGTACTTGTACTACTTGTAAGAAGATATATGTATGTAGATGGGACCTAACAAAATTGGATCCAGGGTACCTAGTAACCTGTTACTTGACCTATATATAGTTACACACTGAGGATCGATGATGCTAGAGGTGAGAAATATTTAGATTTTGAAATCAGAAGTATTTTACATTATATTACAGACTCTAATCACAACATGTAATAATAGTTCATGAAGCATAAATAAATAAATAATTAAATATATATATATATATATATATATATATATATATATACTATTTCTTTGACATATTGACATTGTAAATAATTGGATCCAAGAAATGGTTCTGAATGTAGTGCAAGCCTATGACTTGACTCATGCAAAGTATTATAATTATTATTCCAACTAACCTCACACTAGATAAAAAGTAACTCTATCTATATATCCTTTCAATTTAGCACAGGGCTACATATCACAGTATAACAGAAGCGTGTGGGGAATGCATATAGAGGCGATTTCATAATTACACTCCGACCTCCTTTATCCGGCCACGTCGGGACCGGCACCCATCCGGATATGGGATTTGGCCGGATATGAGAGTTATGCTCAAACACAGCATTTCTATGCAGTTCAGTAGGATTTATGCACGTGATAATGTATTTTACTCGTTGCTATGATTATTTGTAACAAACTGTCATGTTTTATGGTTTATATGAAATGGAAATAAAATGAAATATTACCGGAGGCATAGCGGACACGAGCGGACAACACACACACACACACACATACACGCAAACACACGTACGTTTGGTACATCGCGCGAATTTTGAGCGAGCTTTGAGCGAGATTTTTAGGTGGAAATGAATGAAAAACATAGAACATTAAAAATCAGGGCTTGAAACTAACGTATATAAATATACATAAATCTAGGAGTAAGATAATATTAGACTAGATACTATATTATCTTACTCCTAGAATATAATATATAGTTATATATCCGAAAGAGCAAAATAAAAAAAAAAATACTATACCTAGACTGTACAACTGGAAAATAGTGCATTTCCACGGCAAATATTATTTCTACTTTGTATGCGGTTGCTAGACGTAAGTTCATGGATTGCGTTAAGCAGCATCCTTTGCTCTCTAAATTAAGACGCAACCGCTTGTCTCTAAGATAAACTCTAGGGCCAGATATTGGAGCGTAAATACATGGGCTCACCCCAGGCCCTCCATAGAAAATATTGCGTGAAATCAGCATATTTCCAGTTTTTCCATTGTAACACTCTTAGGTGTATATTAGCTCTTGATTATATACCCAGTGGCTCAATTTTAAGGTTTTTTTTGGTGTTCCGGAGGACAAGCGCAAGAAGAGGTAGGCCTATGGTGTGCGCCTCAAGTGTTTTAGTTGTCGCGGATATTATTTAAACACCATGTGGCTGCATGCGCTCTGCTCACAGTGATGCTCAGTGCTGTAAAGCAAAGGCTAATCATGTACATTTTGTACGTATTGCAGTGACAGCAGACATAGGCCATTTCGCATCTGTTTCACTCATATATATCAAAGAGCAGAATAAAGAGGTCTTCTTTATCTAGATAGAAGATAAATAAGGTCGCTTCTTTATCTGCTCCTGATTATATGAAGATATAAAATATTGGTAATGTAAAGGGCTGGATCAACTAACTTTTTTTTGCAAGTGGCCATCGGGCGGGCGCGCGGCGCGGCGGCGCGGCGCCGCGCGGCCACGGCCGCGCGCCGCCCGCGCCGCGCGAGCCCCGCGGCGCGCGGGGCGCCCGCCGGCCGCGCGGCGCGCGGCCGGGCCGGCCCGCGCCGCGGCCCCCGGCCGCGGCGCGCGGCCCGCAGCCAAATCATTGATTTCAAATTTGGTGGCCGGCGAACATGTAATCTGGTGGCCGGGCGATAATAAACACAAAGAAAACATTATAAATACTTTATTTCAATCTTTATTTCTATATTGTATATTATTTGAAAATTGGGCTGTCTGATCACTTGCACATGTCATTTAAACAACCGCCAGACTAAATGGCACACACATGACATTGATAGATGTGAGGTTTAATACCATTTTGAATTATCCATACACGGCATCGAATTTGCAATCGCAGAATCTGCCATTAGCGCATTTTCTACTTTCACTCATTGATTTATCCTAAACAACGCGCGGCACATGCTTATTCGATCAGTTCGAGACGTTCAAGAATCAAAGTCTACAGAGCATGCAAATATTAAAAGCAAGTAACTGTAATAAAGCAACATCACTATTGTCTTTTCATGTTAAAATAAACATATAACATTTAATCCTGCATGAAAGTAAAATGTCTGGCTAGGCTTGAACTGTAAAAATAAAATATGCAAGATAATAATGAAAAGTAGAACATAATTAGTATCAAGCAAAGTAGCGGCTGGGTAGCATGCATTAAGAAGAAAAGCAGCCGCATGTCTAAGTTCAATATTTCGTTGGCGAAAGGAGAGCAGGAGAAAATGCATAAATTTAAACTTCAGAAAGCAGCTATATTACATCTTCGGATTAAAAATACGATCAGCTTATTGAGATTAGTTCAGTTAATTCTACAGCCGAACTTTCGAAGCGCTGGCAGTTTCGCATTACGATGCCGAAACAGTGAGCACGGCAGTGGCAGCTAAGCTAGCAATCAGGGGACCAGAGCGTCCGTATTTGCCCATGTGTCCCGCTGCGCGTACCGGACGCCTTCCGGGACGCATGTGTGTCCCGTTATTTTAACATTTGAACAACTACATCAAAAAGAAGAATTTTGCATCATTTTTTATTAATGACAATTGTTTGCCATTCGAAACTCTCATCGCGTCGCGGTTCATTTTACACTACAGCCTCCACAGTACAGCTGCAGACAGGCTATGTCAGTACGGCATTGTCGTCGCTGAATACAATGTAATGCACATGTGTGCTGACGGCTGGGCCAAATATGCTATGTACGTAGTGGGGCCCTCGCCCGCGAATTGCTGCTCTCTATTGAATGAGATTAGGCACGTAAGAAACAATTACTTTTTATGCACATAGACACTTTGAAATCTTAGTGGCCAGATCGGCCACCACCATTGCAACTTTTGGAAATTTTTGGTGGCCGCGAGCATGCGAGAGTTTGGTGCCGGGGCCATGCAGGGCACGCGCTAGTGTCGAGCGCTTTGGGTAATGTAGGTAAATGAGCTGGGATCAAATGACGTATAATAATACGTTAAATAGTTGCTGAATTTAATTTCCATAACACTTACAAGTTAAGTAAACTAATGATGTACATAATAGTACTAAATAATACTATCTAACAATTACTTAACATTACTACACTGTGTCAAGTCACAGGGATGAGTAAAAATTTTAAAATTGACACGGAACATTTTGTGTTAAAAACATCGTGTTAATCAAACGAAAGCTATTGTGTTGTAAATCAGCGTGATGTATACATTTGTATCAAGGGAAGGCCAGACAATGCGTCTAGAACCTGTACGTTTGCAGGCGTATTGTGGCGGCTAACGCCTGGCCGTATGTAAAATGAACGCGCGCATTATGAATATAAAAATTCGCACTGCCAACAGGGCTTGGTCAGACGCAGACATTCTACTATCGTTCGCTTACCGTGATTTCTAGCCTACGATCGGGCGAGCGGCGAGNACACACACACACACACACACACACACACACACACACACACACACACACACACACACACACACGCACGCACACACACACACACACACACACACACACCCGTTCATTACCCTGACCGTGTATGTCTACCCTAGCCGCCCCATCGCCATAATCGATTCCGTGGCCGCAGCGAAACGGTAATGTGCCGCCGCACCGTACATTCCCAGCGGACATCAGCCGCCTATAGCAGGTAATCTCCACCGAAGATTTCCCGCGAGTCGTCCGCCGCCCGTGCGCCAGCTACGGGAAACCCCCTCCTCTTCCTGTTCCCGCCACCAGGGGGAAGGGGGAGTGGGGGGGGGGAGGGGTGGCTAGACGTGGAGGTGATTCGGGGTGTGTGTGGGTACCTGGCTGATTTTGTTACTTTTCTAACTACGAATCTCTCTCTTCCTCTCTCCCTCTTTCCTTCTCTCCCTCTCTCCCTCTCTCCTTCTCTGCTTCTCTTCCTCTCTCCCTCTCTACCCCTCTCTCTTAACAATGTTATTAGAGAAGAGGAGATAAAGATAATGGGAAGGAGAGAGAGGTGGAGGAAGAGAGAGAGATAGAGACAGAGCGAGAAAGAGCGACAGAGAAAGAGAGAGAGAGAGAGAGAGAGACAGAGAGAGAGAGAGAGAGAGCGAGAAGAGAGAGAGAGAGAA